CCCCCGTCCCCCCTCTCCCAGGCATGAACATTGCCAACGACGTGGTGGCCTGCATACGCGAGCAGCTCTTCGACCTGATCCTGCGCGACACGCTGCTGGTGCAAACATACGAGGAGCGCATCATCACCGCCTCGCTGCATGTGTCCGAGCTGGCGGCCGCCGTGACGGGGTCTGTCCTGGCACACCCCCTGATTGAGGCTCTCTTTGATCACGTCTGTTTTGAGGGAGTGGCCAGTGGCAGCGCGGCCGCCCCGGCCATTGGTCCGCCCCCGGCTTGCACCTGCTGGCAGCACGCCGTCGACCTGGACTCCGAGGCCATGATCTCCGAATCGCAGGCCAACTCCCCGGAGGCCTCGGCCCTGGATTTTGCCTTCATGAGCCCCCTGGCCCTCGCGCAGACGGTATTTACCCGACGCCTGCGCAGCCGCAATCCCCAGGTGGCCGCGGCCACCGTGCGCTTGGTAGACCAGCTCCTTGGCATGTTCAGCTTCTGTGTCCTGGAGCGGCTGATCCTGGCGCCTCCCTGCCCGGCGGCTCGGTTTGGCCAGTGCCAGGGCCGGGCCAATTCCGGCCAGCGCGGGCCCTCCAACGATTCGCTGGCCCCCTCGGCCTCGGTGGACAACTGCCCGGCGTCTCCCTCCTCGCCCTTCCATTTGGCCGCGCCGGATACCTCCTCCAACCTGGAGGAGACCCTGGTCATGGCCGGGCCGAGTCTCCAATCGCAGCTGTGGATTCGTGTGGTCCTGTCCATCTTCCCGGACCTCCTTTCGCAACAGACCTTCCTCACGGAGGTGGCCCAGCACCATGGGTCCCTTCCGGCCGATGAGCATGGGCAAATTTCCCACCCGGCCACCTTCTCCCGGGCCCCGGGCCAGGAGGTCCCCTATGATGACTACTTCCTCGGGGTCTTCGACCTGGAGCAGCGTGTGCGCCACCTTTGGGCCGACAGCCCGTGGGTGGTGAATCCCCTGCCCTCGCGGCTGCAAATCAGCGGCGTGAGCACCGCATCGGGCGAGGCCGCCCCCACCACACCGGTGGCGGCCGATGCTCCCAGCACGCCCTCGCGCGCGGGCCCCCCTGCCCCGTTGACCATCGGCCTGTCGCCAAGTGGCCAGGTGGCCGCGACACCGGCGGTATCGCGTGAGGCTGCCGAGCAGGCGGCGCGCCTGCGCCCGGTCGGGCCCCTGCTGCCGGCGCTGCTATCGCTGCTGAATCGCGCGCCAGACCATTCCCCGGCCATGCTCCTGTCCTTGACCAGCTGCATCAGCCGCATGGCTCTTTACCCGTGGCCCAGTGTCCAGCGGAGCATCTTCGCCCTGACCGGCGACCTGGCCACCGCGCTGGGCGCCCTGCAGGAGCAAGTCCGTGCCTCTCAGGCGGCCGACCCGGCTCAGCGTCTTTCTCCAACACAGCTGGAGCTCATGCTCGATGAGATCGCCATCCCCTCGAGCGGGTTTGGCCTCTCGGGAACCGGGCGTCCGGACGAGCCGCGCACCCTCCTGTCCACCCTTCAGACGTTGGGCAAACTCCTGAGGTACACCTTCGACTTTTGTCCCTTTCATTCACCGGGCAGGGGGCGGGGGGAGGGACAAGAGGGCCCATATGTCCGTTGCATATTTCGTATCTCCACATGTCGCATTCACACATACATGCTTGCATGGCAACCCCTCCGCTTGGCCCTCTCTCCTGTCGCTTGTCAGTGCCCTTGGCGAGCAGGTCCCGAGTCTCCACCGCCGCGTGGCC